GAGGAGGAGGAGGAGGAGGAGGAGGAGGAGGAGGAGGAAGAGGAGGAAAATGTTCCTTTCCAAGTTTGTTTCTGCTGTCACTGGTAGATAACATGTGGAGACAGAGTCCTAATCCATGTTGATTTATCCTAGCAAGCCAAAAGTAGCTGTTTGGTAAGGTAGTGGATAATTTCAGCAAGCCTGCACTTTCTGTCTAAGACCAGACTCATTCACCCTGCAGCCATCAGCATACCTTTTGAGGGCCTGAGCTCAGCTGGTAGCTGCTAGATGGAGCTGGAGCTACCCTGAGTTCTGAGCTCAGCTAGCACCTCTCCAAATGGCTCTTGACTAATTGCTCTCTTGCCCTGGATGACTGAGCTCTTAACACTCACTGCCAGGTAGTGCAGTCCTATACCACCCACTGTTCCCCTTCACTGCTGCGTCTCTCTGTGGAGGTCTCTGGAGTCTTCAGCAGTCACCATATATCTGCAGGTTTGAAATGCTCTTCATACATAGTGAGTCCTATCTCAGCTATGAGGTGCTGCCAGTTACCTCCTTCCTCTTTGTTGAAGTGTCTCCCTTCACTTTCGCTGTGGGCTTCAATTCATGCCACAAATCTTGCCTAGGTCCAGGGGACCCACTTCCCTCTCTCTTGTCTTTTTCATGTTGCTATATTCCAGCATCTGGATGGCAATAGTCAGAGAGGCTTTTTCTTTGCTGCATAACATTCACTATCTTGGTATATCACCCAATCATTAAGTAGTAATTGGAAGATAAATGCACTATTATGAATCTGCTTAATACCTGAGTATAAAAGTAGGGCACTAAGTAAAAGGTGTTCTCTTGGATATAACTGGCTATGCATTTTCAGATAGTGAGGATTCTACATCAGTTACATTTCAGCTTTAGCAGAATAAAAGAATGGTTTTTATTGCTCAGGACTTGGACTAAAACTAAGATCTGGAAGTAATATCTTCAACTTTATTTTTGCTTTAAAGAATGATTTACTTGCTCTCATATGTAGTCATTCATTCATTAGTCACTGACTACCAATGTTTTAGTACTAAAATACCAGGGATTAAATGTACACAAAACTTTTTATCCTTGGATAGTTGACATTTCAATGTGTAGTTCCATAAACAGAAACTGTAATGATAATGGCATTTAGGTTATTGCCAAGAGATGTGCAAAACACTATAGAAGAAAGCAAGGAGGAAATAGCTACCTGGATTTGAGAAGTGCTTCACAAGAGTTAACTTTTAGGCTGGGCTTAAACTACTGGGGATCTATCAGATGGAAGATAAGAGTGCATATTTTAGGCAGAAGACTACCACAGGAGGCAGAAAATGGCTGTTGGAGAGTGTGATAAGTTGGGAAACAGTGAGTAATTGTTGATTGCCAGAGCAAAAGCACAAGATTTAGTTGGGGTGAGGCTATCAAGTCATATTGCTATTATGACGTTATGACAAGTATTGTAAGAGAAAAGTTTATGGTCAGGAAAGAAGGCTGTGGATTATTCATTAAGTAGATATCAAATTATCCATCAGTCATTGCTGCTGTTGGAAATAAACAGTGGGAGGTGAATTTCTGATGGTCTTTTGTAAGAGACAGTCTGAGCTTCTAAAGCAGAAGAGATAATGCTGTGCTTCTGGCTTTTTTAAAATTTTTAATTTTAATTTTTTTTTTTTAGATAGCATCTTACTATGTTTCAGGCCAGCCTTAACTTTCTGTGCAGTACAGGGTAGCACTGAAGTTGTGATCTTTCCTCAGCCTTCCAAGTACTGGGACTACAGGAATGCTGCTTCAGTTTTACAAACAGAAGGAAGTAAAGGCACCATTCCCAACACTTGTTTGATTATAGGAAAATGCTTAGAGCTCCTCCTAGAAACAAAGAAGATGGGGCTGCAACCAGCTGTTTGGGTTACCCATTGCTTTACAACACATTTACTACTTCATCCTAATTTATGATTTTGTGGGTCAGGAATTCAAGCAGTGATTAGCTAAGAAACTGATTCATCAGTCTTCATTTATTTGGGATGCAGAGACAGAAGGATCATAAGCTGGCCAAGGCAACTTAGAGATACCCTATCTAAAAAAAATTTAAAGTATGAAATATAGTTCAGTGGTAAAGTATTGCCTAGTATATATGTGAGGCCCTGGGTTCAATCCCTAGTACTGCCAGGAAAAAAGAAAAAGAAGAAGAAAAAAAAGAAATATAGATACTGTAGTCCAATTAATGCTCAATTAAAAAAAAAACTTTGAATAATGAGTGTGGGATTATCACTGGATATCTTTTGTCTATGATACTTGTCACACTTAAAAATTATTTTATGTTTGAAACTTAACTTATTTGTTTGTTTTGTAGTACCGGGGATTGAATTCAGGATCCTGCACTTGCCAGGCAGGCGCTTATTCTACCAAGCTATCTCCCCAGTCCTCAACTTACTTATGATAATTCCTATTTAATTGTTATACTGTCTTTTGTATCCCTAGAAAGCCAAATCCTTGCTTTTAAAAGGCAAGAAATCAAGCTGGGTTCTGAACCTGGCAGATCTAACAAGCATGCAATAAGAAAACTTCATGAGTTACTGTTTCTTACTTTTGGTGCTCTTTCAAGCTTTAAAAAATTAATTAATTAATTTGGTACAGGGTCTCACTATGCAGCTCGGACTCAGTGATCTGGGATTACAGGTGTGTGCCACCATGCCTGGTTTTGGCAGCCAGCATGGTGGCATGGCATG